TTAAAGAGAACTATGCAGAAACCCAATTAGTTTTTGGTAAATATTTATGCTTATTAATCTCTAGTTAACATAATTAATTAACACTGATATCTCAATTACTGATCATCACATTTGAATAAAATTTGGTACATAAATGCTCTAGGACAATAGACAGGCTGATTAATTTTGGGTTAAAATTTGTTCATATTAATTCTCTAATTAGCATAATAATTCATAATTTTTTTGTTCTGTTCTGTTCATATTAGTTACCTGATGTACATAATTAGTTTTCAGCTTTTCTATCAATATCTCATGTACAAGTAATTTTGAATTAATTTTTAATGTGTCTTCAATACTCTCAGCACACGGGAGTTCTTTCTAAGCTTTCTTTGATTTACACTTGTGCACAATGTGTTCAAAAAACCGGCTGGGTGTCATTTGGTAAACCAACCAGTTAATGTTGTCAATGCTATATTTATTGTCTTATTCTCGGGGGCGAACATCCGTCATTTTCATCCCATGGCAACAATCACGGTGAAAACAAAGGCCGAAAACTCTCAGAAAACGGTACTTTGGGATGTTTGTTGAGACTACCCTGAACAGTGAGCAAGATTACGCATATAAATTTGATTGTTCAGGAGCATTCCTCAGCAGCGCGCGCAGAGCCAATAGAAATACATGGTACAATGGTGCACTCCTTAGCAACGTGGAACGTCTTGTGATGTAGCTCCGCCCTGAGGATACCCCAAAGCATTATTACATGTATATCAGTTAGTATTTAAAAATACTTTGTTGAAAGGCCAAAGTAATAATGATTCTCACAGCGATGTGAGGCATTCATCATTAGGGCTGACCTGATTGGTTGACAATGTACAGTACTGACAGTGTCAAGTGACAGCTTTAGTCTTAACACAGTAACGATTCTGTCATGTTTGACAAGACTATTAAAGTTATTTTACTCTAACCACAAATATATAATGCAACATTTTAGTTGTGAAATTGAAAGTGATTACACATTTTTATGTATTTATCCCATATTTTCAGATTCAAATAAATAGCTGATATTGTTGATTTCTTCCTTCTAGAAATTACTTGCCTATCTTGACAACACAAAAATAAGTACGACAAAGTCCTTGCATTCAAACCAACTGGTTGGACACATAGCGAAGGCACAAACTTGTCAAAAATCAAACCTTCTAAAAAAGGACCAGTCTCAATATACGGTAAGCCACTAGTATGTTCATTATTTTTTGGAGAGTGTATAACATTTTCTTCACCCTTATCTGGTCAAGTCAATGTAAAAAAAAGTACATGGGGCTGGCAAAAAAGTGTGTTTATGATTGATCTGTGTGTCAGCAAAATCATGGCACATTGTATCTTATCAATATAAGTGCACCCTCTATGGGCAAGTCCATAAAAGTGCACCTTCTATGGCAAAAATGAAATCAGGAAATAAGTTTCTTTAAAAAACGTTGACCAGAAAAACATTATTATGATAATGTTTCCTGTTTGTTCTCATTCAAATGAAGTTGTAAAACATAAATCACAGACTACAAACCACAAATGTTTTCTCTTGTTTCATAATTTTCTGTTAGCATCATCTTCATCATTTGGATCAGATTGATCTCAAATGGCAGGTTTTTTGTTGAAAAAATTAAACTTAAATTTGTTATCAATTTCATATTATAATATTTTATATTCCTGAATTATCTTCAGCACAAGACATCTGATTGCAAACTTTTAAGAATCCAACAAAAGACATGTGACTACACTATGATGTCTAAACCTACCATAATCCTTCCATTAGTTATATCAATAAATAATTTAGGGCTTAATTGTGTGATGAAGTGTAGATAAAAGACTAAAATGATATTTTTTGAGTGGTTGAATTATTGAGTCTGTTTTTTTCAGTGTATCATTGTTGAAGAATGAAAGTTATTAGTGTAGAAAGTCTGGAAACAGAAATGGCTTGAAAGTGTTAGTAAATGTCAATGTTTTAAATTACTGCCTGCTTGTCCACCTAAGACGGATAACTTTTGAGTAAGGCTGGTGAAAGTTAAAACAAACATGACTGGTGGTCTAGTAAAAAAAATTTTTATGGTCTGCTTTATTTAAAACTCTGCAGCTGTAATTTTACTACAAAACATTATCTCTTCTGGTAGTAAAACAAAAAACGCAACAATTGAAAATGGGAAAGTTGAATATTATTGGTTGACATGTCATCAGAGTATTGAGTTGCTGTTAGGGATTGAGACCCTGGCAAAGGAGAGGGAGAAAAGAGACATACTAGGAAGAAAATAAGTTGTACAAATTGACAACAAAATCATCTGAAGCATAACTCAGCTTAGTATTGTTGCCACAGCACGATGTTACTACAGAAAAGATTCAAATTTGCAAATGTTTCTGTGGACAAAATAAAATGCTCATGTGCAACTCATGCAAAGCACTGATGTCAGACCGAACGATTTTAGGATCAGTTACATCACATGCATAAAAACAATTGGTTTTGCTATGTGTAGCTGTGCTTTAAATCCGCCCCTGAATTAAAATCAGACTTCTCAGATGAAGATGAAAGTGAAAACTAAAGAGACTTTTAACTTTAAACCAGACTGATGAATTTGAAAGTTACCTGCTGTGATATTTGATATGCAATTATAAGAAATTTTAAACATGGCTGCATGTACTCTCATTTCTTGTTAATAAAAAATATATACAATGGATTGATAGCATCTGATAATCTCCTGCACAAAAATAGTTTTCACCTAAATCAGGTGATCTAACTAATATTACATATGATATTAAATAAAACACTCGGCAGTTTTGAGGTGAAAGTTTTATATTACATGTACTTCAATCTGTAAATGTCAAGAATCTCAGGACTCAATCAGTTTGTTATTTAGGTGGTTGAAAGCATACATTCATTTATTATAAAGGTTATTCAGTGTATTATCTAATCGTCTATAAATAATGGAAATGGATTATATTACAAATACGCATGTGACTGAAATACGCACGTGTCTTCAGAGACCTTTGTTCATTATTAGTACCCTTTCGAAATGATGACATGTAATTTGGGATTTGTCTGTCAGCCCAAAGTTGTGTTTCATAACCCTCTGAACTGAATTCATTCATTTTTTGCATGTACCAAGTACTTTATGTGGTACATATACACACACAATGGTTTAGTGATTGAATCCAGCCATGTTACAGCAAGTCTCAGAAGTATTGTGGCAGCCAATTAACAAACTTGCTAGTGAATTGGCTAACTGCTTGGGTTTTGACTAAACAATTGGCTTTGGAATCTCACTGGCGCCGTCTCGTGGTCGTGTCCACCCTGTACGAGTCTATATTGCTTTAGGAAACAGTTTTTACATAGCCTGGAATTGCTTTATTGCATAAGGTGTTATAATGTATAAGTAGTTTCCTTGATCAGTCTGAGAATGGCCACAGTCAACTAGCGTATTAAGTGGTAATATTATAAATGCGATTAAACCCACCAATATTTACTATTGTAGAATACTTTATTTTCACTTGGAATTAATTTTTCGCTATTTTCACTGAAGGAATGATTCAGTGAAAATATAATCAGCGGATATACTTTTTTTATATATATTTTACATTCAACTTTTCAAAAATCAGTGAAAATAAATTCCATACAAAACACCCAAAAAGTCGAAAATAAATTCCAGCTAAAATAAAATATTTAACAGTATATGGGGAAGCCATCTTGAACACTGTTTGGTAATGACAAATAGTTTTAAAATCAGATCAAAGAAACCCACTGGCAGCCATTTCCTTTTTTGGCCATACTACTTCATATCTTTTTTACACATGTACTGTTTTCATTGATATTTAGTACATGTGTCTTTAATGGATACATGTCCATTTTAATTCATTTTGTGATTTGATTAAATATGGCTGCCTGTCTTGTAAGGATATATGTACATGATGAATCATTTTATGGTTGAATAAAAAAATGGTCTACTGCTGGTCTTTTTTGTTGACCATATTAGTACATGTATATCTCTGAGACCCATGTACAGTCCCATATTTTTTGTCACACACATCATTATACATGTCTTTGCTTTTTTTCTAGTAATATCTTCTAAAGGTTGTAATAAGTGTCAAAAACTTGAGCCATTCTGGTTGCAAATGAATTCATGATTGTCAAGATTTGATTGCATATATTATGCATTTAGCAATACATGTCAATAGCAATTCAATTTGTGATCAGAAAAAGATAACAGACTTGCATCCATCTTACTTTTTGGCAAAAATCATTTTTCTTAGGCATGAATACCATTCTCCTAATTGCAACAGGGACTGTCATTAACAATGACTTGTTGCATCTGTTTTTATTTCTGATTCATCTATCACAGGTGTTCCATACAGTGAGCACAGCAGTTTTCGAGAACTAGAACGTTTCGTCAAGTTCCTCAGACCAGACAGAATCCTGCCTACTGTGAACAATGGAACTACACGAAGTCGACAGAAAATGGAAGACGTCTTTGCCAAATGGATGAAGATATCCCCCTCTTGATTAACAGTAGAATTTGTCAGCGGTGAGAAATCTTAGTCGATTTCAGTTTCATAGCTTTTATTTTGAGCAAACCCATTCCTTTAGTCTGTGTCTGTTTTTTGCTACTCCTCTTGTCTGTTATATATTTTTTGATCTGCAGTTAACACGGAGAACTTAAACATTTTTTGGCCTTATCAGTAAAAATATCAATATTACTTCTTGCAATACCACACATTATCCCAGGTTTTAGCTGCAATAACCTCCAGTCTGGAATTCTCATATCACATGTATAAAAATGGTACCATTAACCAGTTTTGTTTTCTCTATATACTATTTGAAGAAGTTTAGCATGCGTATCACCACATTTAGTGTGAAACTTCAATACTGTGAATGATATGCACCATAATTATGTGATAAATATAGATAGATTTAATTCAGGTTTTCATAAAATTTGGCCATCAGGCAGCCGTTTTTGTTTTCCAAATATAAGTGCCATCAACTGTTTCTTGAACAGCTGAAGACTGTCATGTCCTATTTCATTAAAAAAAATAATAGTTTTAACATAACACATGGTAGGTTACTGATGCATGTCAGTTTGTGTCAAGATCAAATTCATTGTGGCCAATATTTAAACTTTGAGCACCCATGTATTCAATTATACTTTGCAACCCTTATTTCTTTGTCTTAATCCCTAAAGTCTGTCTAGGTCATTGAAATCTAGTATGTAATGTGTGCCCTTTAGTTGTATCTATAGCAGGTATAATGTGAAAAAAAGAAATATGCTGGAAATATGGAAATTCCTGCAGGGATTATATTTAACCATTTTAATGTTTAAGGAATGTTTGTTAAATGTTAAATATCCTGTTTTTTGTTAGTGAAGCAATATAGTTACAACTAATTTATTATACTGATTGCAATAAAATATCACTAAATAATTAGTGTTTCACAGCATAACAAGTGTTAATATATGTTCTGTCTGTCATTGTTTATATAAAGTATACTTACTATGCTAATTAATATATAACAAAATTCCTAATTAATTAATTACTCAGTTGAGGCTGTAGACTACCAAGTAAGTAGACATTAGGTTTTAGAAAAAACTTAGGAAAATGAAGTAATGATGTCCCTATTTGACTAAGAGAGAGCAATCTGGCCCAATCAAAATCATATTTTTACCTCAAAAAGTGTACAACTACAACTACTCAAAAATGCTAAACCATTTGACTTGATTTTTTAATGTGTAGATGGGATATTATTTATATTATTTATAAAAAGTTGATCTGCTAAATATTATGCAAATTAACTGATGAAAAATGACTTTCTGAGTTTGCTTTATTTACTCAGTTTGTGTAGATGGCTTGTGTTGATCTTAATATTAGGTTATTTCATTGTATTTTATTGTATATTTTGATATAAAATTGTGGTATATGTTTATAATAGTTTATAACTATTTTATAACATTGACTTTAGAGCATAAAGTGAAAATTCTTTATTTCTGATAATGTTTTCCACTTTTATAAGGTCAACTTAGGTAATAATGTCCATGCTCTTTTGTCATATGTTGTATCCCATTTTTCATGTTAGGTGCATTCAAAATAGAAATTGCTGAAATACTGATGAGCCATTGAGATACACCAACAAGAATGATGCCATTTATATGTAACCTTCGACAACTTGGCTAGATTTGTTAAAAACATTTGCAATGTTATTATAATACTGTATTCAGTGTGTTTTATACTTTTATGTTTACTACAAGTAATATTAAATACTATATTTAGGAGGATAACCATTGTAGTATTATGAAATGTATGGTATCCATTTTGTTTGACTGGAATTACACTTACTTGTACATGTACATGTTTGTCAACAAACTGTCAATAGGGAATCAAACAAAACACTGTTAAAGGACAGTGAATTTGAATTATATTCTGAATGATTGTGATAATAGTATATTTATCTGTTGTATTTTGTGTGGATGGCAACATATTGGCAAGTTTTCACCAATACTTAGAACATGTAACTGATTAGACTGGCTACAGTCGGGAAGATTATATTTGTCCTGTCAAGTATATTAAAGAAATATTTCCTCACCGCGAAATCCCCACTCACCGCGAAATTTCACAGCGAGAGAGAGACATATTTTTTTTTAATTAAAAATTAGACATATGTTTGAAAAAATCGCCCCGACTGTGGCCAGTCTAGTAACTGATACTACTGAGCATTTGAGTTTTAATTGGTAATTAATGAAATGATTACAATGGTGGAGTTCTATGATGCCACTCCAATTACAATTGCTGCTGCCTTTGTTTAAATTCGTCATATAACAAAAATACTGCTGTGTAGTAGTTAATACAATGGGAGATACCTTCATTGAAGCAACAAAATAATGAAAATAATCTAATTATTGGCAACAAACTAAAAACCTATCGTATTTAAAAAAAATAATTTAAGTAATTTTAAGTAAAAATAATTTAAGGCTGCTGAACCATGTTAACAGTTACTAGGGACATGCCTTTTTGACAACAAAATTAATCTATTTTAATTCTAATTAGTAAGTTGAATATACAATAAAAACTTATGGTTACTATTAATTTGTGCACCCAGTCCATTTTTTGCAGTGCTCTAAAAAGGTTTAGCAGTGACCATTTTACGCCCCCTGAGCGACAAATAAGTTTGGAACTTGCATGCAATTTGAAATTGTGGTTTCACCAACCAGTCACCTCTAGTTATTGACTAGAAGAATTATTTTCGTGAAAACTGCTAAATATTATCAATCTGAATGTTTTAAATCTTATTTAAGGATTTTGCTGTTTGTAATGATCTCAATTTTATCATAGTAACACACAGGATATTTTTTTCCAATGAATGTCACTACTCCTCCTTGTTATGTGAAAATGTGTGAAGATAGAACTAGACTACAATTTAGTTCAAGCGGGGAGTAGTCACCTGCGCATGCGTCAGATGGCCTTAGCGTGTCATGGTTTACAAACAAGCATCTAACCATGAGCCTTTGCGCTTTTAGCGTGTGTTGTTATTGTTGCTTAGGACTCAATTACCACACGTGCGCAGCTGACGACCCTTTCATATAGACAAACTTATCATAGTCAATCAGGCATCAATGTAGAGCAGTCATTGATGACGTTGAGTGGAGGGGGAGTTGTAACTGACCTAATTGGTGAAGGCTTTTTATGATAAGACATAATCCAACATATCAGCAACTGTCTCTGGTGGGTGTACAGACAAAACACAGTTGATACTGGTGGTTGAACATTAGAGGTGGAAAATGATTCAGCATTTGTGACTCCTGCCCACTAAAGACAAGAACAAACATAGTTATTCTGAATTGTTCATATATTTAGTGACACATGTATTACATTCCGGCAAGTACCACCCTCTGAAACATGCAGTTTAGTTTCTGCTGCAGTGTAAATTAGATGTACACACCAAGCCAATTCCGAAGATTTGGTTAAGGATTTCTCCAGTGGTTCGAATTCATATGTAGGATCATGTTGGCTTCAGAGATGGGATGAGATCACAGCTTCATCTGCCCAGACCCGGTAGCAACAATCTCTGTGGTGAAGCTTTTTCTGCTCGGTGTGAAGTGAAGTACACAAATATACAAGGTATGTGAAATCGTCTTAATATTTGTATTACTACTGTTATATCTTGCCAAGGCACCTAGATAACTGTAGACAAAGCTCCTGCCAATAGAACCAGGATGCACTAATGACAAGACTTTTATGCAAAGCCCTATTCCCTGTGCTGTTCATCTCAGTAAAATGGAGAACTGAAAGTGATTCTAACCTTGAAGTCCTGTGCATTTCTAGGGCTACAATATGCTGATTTGACCAATATTTGTCTGTTAGACAATATCTAACTACATATATAAATAGTGGTAGTAGTAGACGATATAAACATTTCAAATTTCCCTTTATTAATGCACAATATCAGGTTATTGTAGATTTATCCATGTTTACAGTGCCCAGTGTAAATAAGAATATGCAATTAGACAAACAACCTTCTTATCCTAAGATGTAGAGGAATTCCTGAGGTTATTAATACAACTTAATACAACAGTCCTTCACATCAAGTACATAATAATCAAATATCCAGCTAGCTGGTACAACAGTTTACAGAATACAAATATTCAAACATGTGACCTTTCACCTAACTATTTAAAATCCCAACTGAAACAAATAATTCTGTGATGATGTTTGAGATCTACGCTCCCTGAAGAATCAATACATAATTAGTAAGGTCAGTTCATTAATATCCCTTCATGCGCACAATATCCAGTCAGTAGTAAATACTCATCTGCAAGGGATATCTCAGAATTAGTTATGTGCACTAGTTAATGAAAACATGGGACCTCTGATACTTCATGTGCACAATATCCAGTTGGTAATTTTAGTAATAATTAACTTGATTCATGTTATATTGGAGGAATTTGCAAAAAGAAAATGTATTGATTAATGAAAGACAAAAAATAGAAGGTAATCTGAAAACAATCGTTATCGCCTATATTCTAGACTGCTTTTCAAAATAATTATTGGCCACAGAACAAATGTACGTTTTACTAGACCGGATATGATTGTTGCCAATATTTTATTTGAAAAACATATACATCTTTATCTTGTTCTTGTGCTTTTTAGTAAAATAAAAATAATATTCAAGTTTATGTTCGGTTTTTGACAATGTATGCACCATAGTCAATGTAAGAAAATTGAGAGATGTACATAATACATTGATTCACTATTGAATCATAGACCTTAGGGTCTATGGTCTATTAATAATTTTGAATAAAGTAGTGACCCTGTATGAAGCCCACTTATCTATAATGTCCTCTTGGTGGAGACTATAGACAGGTTTGACTGTATCTATCATATATCCCTGAGAATTAGATGTGTATACGCTGTGGTCATGTGAATAGTTCATTCATGTGTATAATATCTAGATACATGTAGTAGTAAATATGAATCTGTAATAAAAGGTGCTGCAACTAAGCAAAACAATCGTGTTATATGGACACATGGGGCAATTCCTGACATTGATTATGTCTTGTAATAATTCATCAGAATAAATCATTTAAACATTTGACCATTCATCTAATTGAAATCAAAATTAATTAAATACTGCTAAGCGAATAACCAATTCTTCATGCAATTGAGCCTTACTCTGCCCTGATCAGACATTTTAAATTCCAGGTAAGCTATTGTGTTCGTT